CTTTGTTTACAACTTTCTGCTTGCTTAAGCGCTTTCAACTGCACCCTCGCACATTCTAAAACATACCTAGTAATGTATGTACATATATATGTATATATCGTATATTGTTATATATATGCATGTGTGTGTATATATATGTACAAGCATGCCGGCATTTGACATTCAGTCTGCCCACAAGTGGATGCTGCTGGTACAAGCTGCATATGTTCGTCAGTTGTTGGCCACTTGTTTGTTAGGTCGATTGGTCAGTGTGTGTAACACGTCTAAGTCTATGTTTTCGAGAAGAGACAGACAGAAATATATACAAAACAAAAAAAAAGCTTGCTTTGGCTGCATCGAAGCTATAACATCTTGCACAGGTGCAGTTCTTTTAGCAATTAAACGTTTATTTAAATCTGTAAGCGTTTCCGACTAAATGTTTGAATCCAACAGAAAACGCGCTGCTAGCTCTTTCTTGCCACAACCTTCAAGTCGAATTAGGGTTAGTTCTTAAGGAAAAAAGATATTTTATGAAAATCTTTATCGATCGGTCACTTTGTTTATCAGCTATATGCTATAACGGTCCAATCTGAATTATTTCTTCGGAAATTGCACCATTTGCTTAGGCAGTAACCAGTGCATAATTTAGTGAAAATATTTTTTCAATTCAAGAAGCTTTCCATACAGCCACTCGATTCCAATTGCTCAGTCTGTAAGGCAACTATATGCTATAGTGAAGTTCCTTCATATGACACTCCCAACAACCATGACTTCCAAAACAGTCATACCCTTGATAAAATCTGTACCTTTCATTTAATGCCGTATTAGATAACAAATTATCATCAAATGTTCCACCTTTCAACTTTTGATACTAAGCTTCGGAATATAACAAAAACAATATTCTGCCACGTCCACCGCAGGACATTGTGCATAATGTAAGTCTAGAGTAGCCGATAATTAATTAAAATATAATATAAGTTAAAATATAAACTAGAGTCAACTCGTTAACTTGACACTTGAAAGCATCAAAATTTGCTAAGATATCTAGGGCCAAGAATATATATACATATATATTTTTTTGTATGGAGTTAGTTTTAAGAGCATAGACTAATCTAAAATTTGAATAAAAAAAAAACTTTCGGGTGCCAAAATCGTTATTCAATCCGAATAACGGTCTCTTAGTAGCGAAGCGTTCGAATCAGCCACCTACGGCTTGCATCACTTTAAACGCATTTTTTTATTGAAGTTACATTTTTCAAATCGGGCAACGGCGGCCGTTAATAAAAAACATATGTACTTCACTAGCAATTTGTGGTGGAAGCACCGTTACCCGTCGAGACTACATGCAAAGGGCTGATTACATGTTTAAGAACCCGAAAAAAAGAGGAGGTTGAACTCTTTTTCCTTACTACCAGAAAAATTTGTCAAAAGTATGTTAATGCTTGGTTAGTATCGTAAAATGAAAAACGCTGCAATATTCAAATTGGCCTGGATGGCTGAATATTGTTCAAATCGCTCAAGCTTTTGTGAGATACCAAATATGTTCTATTAACCATTTTGCTCAGTACTGTGTATATCAAATAGCGGCTTACGATTTTACAGCTGCTACTAAGAAATAAGTAGTTCAAATAAAAAAGCAGCCGTTTAGCGGGGTCTTTTTGCAGAGCTTAAAATCCCCCCTCAGGCATATTTTTTTCTCTGTACGTAATTTCATTTTGATTTATAAAATATATTTTATTTTTATTTTTTTCTGGTTCACCCTAACGTAGAAAGAAAGATTCTTAACACTGAAAGAATTCGTGTGGCGAGAGCTGTACAATTGCATAGCATACGCTCGGATGTTTAAAAAATTTTGTAAAAGGTCAATATTATTTCAAAAGTAAACGTCAACTTACCATAAGTCAGAACTCTGAGATCAATTTTTTTTTTTTTTAGGATAGCCGGATAGCCGAGCAGCTTGTCTGTTTTAAACCTCGTCTGTTCTACAACTTCTTTCCTTAATAACCTCTTCAGATTTTCATCAGTTATTACGCAAGATAATTGCTGGAGAGAGACTCTGTAAGGAAACCTGTAATATTTCGGTTTGCCAATATAAATTATTTAATCTTTATGAAATCTATTTTATATGAGACGTAAAATTTTTGCAATATAAAAAAATATTAAATAATTACATCCTCACTAATATTGAATAACATGTTGCTAAAGCTAATATTAACTATGCTGATACTCACGCTTACCTTCAGTTTGCTCAGCACCAGCGTGTTTAGTACTGAGTCTACATCCGTCTTTATATTTGTTTGTACAAAATATTTCCAAGAAAATACGCTGATGTCAGGCCGACGACCGATAATCGCAGGCATAATTTTTAGTATAAATTAAAATTCCAGGAAATTAGTTCGCAAAATTTGTGGCGACATCTAGGCAGTACCGCTTGCACATACAAACAGTTTTTATGCTCCACACACAACAATTTAAATCCGTGTATGTATGAGGAAACACAGGAAAAATAACAACAACAAGAAAACCCCCCACACACACACAAAAGAATGCAGGTCCATGCAAGTTCATCCAGACAATTTAATTGGTTTTATTTGAGTTTGATTAAATTGGCAATAAAGTTGGTCAACAATTTGCCTTCAGATCATCCATCCCATTGTACGAGACGCAGACATACACACATATGTATTGTGTCTTCAGATGTGTTTGTGCTGCTTGTGGGTGCACATTGTTGTTGTGTGTTTGTGTATTTCTTATCGACTTTAGGCTTCACTGGTTGTCACTCAAGCTCATCCACTCACAGCCCGCTCATTGTGTGTTATTGCAGTGTCGGTATGTAAATGGTCAACTTGGGCCAAACAACTACCCGCGCCCCCCGGTTCGGCACGGCCTACTTGTCTGTTTCGTTCTCTAGATGCTTGTTTTCAACTTTGTTAATTTAATTATACTTGTTCCTACTATGTGCCACCAAATCAATCTTCATTTAAAAATCAATTTATTACAATGTTTGGGTTCTATATTAATTTCTTCTGACTTTCGGCATTTAAACTCTCAGCTCTTAAGGAAAGTTGCGGCATTGGTGGCATTGGTTAAGCGGTCCATGGCGACTGCGAATTTTATCTCTATAAATGACCTTGTGGTTCTATTTAAGGAGATAAGATAGCATAAGTAGATATTAAACTCAAATTGCAACGAGTTTCTTAAAATGTTATACTTGTATAATCGGCAGTCATATCAACCGTTTTTATACCCTGAACAACGTATAGCTATAGCATATGGACCTGTTATCATACTCGATTTTCTTACAAACTTTTGTCTGCATTGGAAGTACGACCAGAACAAAATGCGCTTTGATGACATAAAAGCAAAGTATTTTTCGCCAACAGAAAATAATTATATCTATGTGTTCACCTAGGAGTAGTGTAAAACAGACACAGAAGTTTAATTCTTCTAGGGCAATCCCCACAATTTAGTCTTTGAACTCCAGACTGTATTATTCTATACGTGGTATAACAGAAGGCGCCAATTGGGCATCTGATTAAATCAGCAAATTTGTTAATTTCTTCATTTAGAACAAAACGGCTCAAGAAGCCTCGAGGGTTTGCAGAATTTTGCCGTAATGAACGCAGCTGTCATAACTTGCCTAAGGTCGTTCAGCTCTGTCTACGATTGCTTGAAGCAAATTATGTTAGGGAAACACGTCAGGTTTTGGAACAACGCCATCACAGGGCGTATCACATAATTATTTCAAAGTCAAAGTCAATTGGATAGCATACAGACTAATAGGCTTCAATTTTTAGTGAGAATTCTCTCTGGTAGAAATAATCCGATATAAGTCGTATATTGATGCTTATCCTTGAAAAAGGATATTGGTGCCACCATTTATTAAGCTTAGAAACGAAATCCACCGAGTTGTTGCATGGTTTTTAGTTTAAACTCACCTTTCAGCACAATTAAACTCATAACGTTGACTTAAAATCGGCCGCTTGCTGTCAGACGTTCTTGAGTTTTAAACTTTCAGCTATTCAAGGTGGTTGGCTTTAAACATAAGTCTACAATAATATATATTGGTAAAATTTCGAAGAAAATAGGTCTCCACTAGCCTTTTGTCGACTTTGGACAACTACAATTTTGAAGAATTTTTCAGAAACGTCGATTGCCAGTAGGTCATATTCATTTCATAAAAAACAAGGGACTGACTAACATTCTCGTAGCAATATACGAGTACATTTAAATTCTTTAAAGCGAAAGGGTCAAGTGCTAAACGAAATTAAGACAAAGTATATCAGTCCACAAGAAAACAGTATTTTCACATACCTTGGAGCTAATACCAATGCTGCTGTTTTCGGCATTTTGAGTAAAGACTGGGTTTTATATAGCAGCACTTTTGGGGTATATGAGTATGTAGTAGTGGTAATATTTTGATTTCTAGTCAAAAAACAAAAGATTGCAACGACATTTTAATTTATCGATAGTAAACTTTTCGGTGAATTTCGCTTTAAAAGCTGATTAATTATATGGTTAAGTTTGCCTTCGAGTTCAAGGTTCTTTGATCATCAAAATATTATGCTTTAGTGCAATAACATTAGGATCTTATGAAGAGACACCTACAGGTTTTCTTGATTTTGCGCAAAACTGCTTTAAGTTTCAGCAAACAGAAACATTGAATTAATAATCTAAAAAAAAAAAAACAATTATAATATACAAAATTTCAAAATGCTCTTTAAAAATCACAAATAGTTCCGAATGCAACACTGCAAACTATTTTTTGGCCCTTCACAACACTCACTCACATTTCCAATACGACACAAATTTCCATTGGACACGCTCAGCACAACATACCTCAAAAACATACGGTGAATTTCATAATTTTTCAATTTTCGAAAATTCACTTTACGAAAAATGCCACTTTTCCTTATTACTTGCGCGAGTACTTAAAAGCATGTGTGTCAGCATGTGTGCCACACACGTCCACTTTGCACCATATGTGTACAACAAAAGCAAATGCCAAAAGTACAAAAACACAACAACAAAAATTCACTAGCCGCGGAGCGTTCGTATAAAAGCGGGACACAGCCGCTTGGACGCCTCAGTTGTCGGGCGGAATTTGCGGTTCATAGCGTTTTAACTAACCAAGCAGCTAATCGCTTAACGCCAAAATATTATAAGATAATCACTTAGATATTTGAAATTTTAAAGCAAGCTAACGGAACATTTCTACAATTCGAAAGTAGAAAACTTAAAAATTCCGCTCGTGTTTTTACCACTATATCTGGTAGCTGTCATTGTTGTCAACCGGTCATCAGCTCACACACTCGTTAGTCTCACATTCCCGGCGCGGAACCTTGTCGTGTGCAATTGTTTATTTAATTCCGCGCTATTGTTGTTGTATGAATCCGCACCGCTGTCGCTACCCAAAGGCGATCACAGCGCTCGGCCACATCATTACTCATTGCTGACAGTTGGCATTTTGGAGCATCAAACAAAAACAAACAAAACTACAGAAAAAAAACAAGAACAAGAGTAGCGACGAAACCGAAACATGCGTTCACCGGCATTAGCATTTGTCATATGCGTGGCGTTGGCCGTGGTCGTCATGACGCAGGCGGAACACAATGCTTATTGCAAGGAATTGAGTAAGCAAATGATCACGAAATTAAATTGACAAAATGTCGACGGCGACATGCGTTCCTTATTACTGTGTCAATCAAAAAACGAATGGCATTCAGCTTAATCGAGTGTGTGTTTGAGAGTGACGTTTCTCATGGGGAGAGCTTGTTGATGTTAAGCGTGCGTGGAATTTCTGACCATTTATAGTACGGACATCTGCGAAATCGGCAAATCCTGCGCAAGCAGCCTATGTTTAAAGGTTTCTCGGCTATAAAGATATCTAGTGTTCAATATGTCGGTTCTTATTGCTTTAATTTAGTTTAGGGAAATCTCTCCCTTTGTAAAAACAATTGCTACAAAGACTGAGGTTTTATACCAGTGCGATGAAGGACCAAAGGATCACGTGTTGCAGATCTGTGCGGACCGGATGTTGCTCTGCAATTTCACAAGCGCTTAAATAGATACTAGTAATCATGCCGAAAGCGGTTGTTATAGCAGTAGACCCAAAATTATTAGTAGAATAATCGGATATCAAGCCTTGTCTCCTTTGAGTCCGTAGATCCAACTTTAGAGCAGGCTACTGCAATATAAAGGAACGCAGAAAAGAAATTATACTCGTATACAATACAATATAGTTAGAATTTTAAATAACCTTTGAGGGAAGGCAGCAATTGTATACTGTATTGTATTGTGAGTTTTGGGTTTGTTCCAACTACTTTACATATTTTCGTGCTACCATACAGTTAAGATCGTCTATGACTTATCCCCGAAGAGGGTCAATCGCCAGCTGATAAAACCAGTTCCTTGTGAAGCTTGAAAAAGACTTATAGTTGGATTGTTTCACAAAGCAACTGCGGAGTTAGGACCAATATGGCATAAAGCTGTCATAATGCTGTCAAACTGAACGATCGGAAGCTAGTGTTTGTATGGAAAACTTTTTCATTTGACGAGATATCTGCACGACTTTTGGCATGGGTTATTTTATAAAACAATAATGCAATTTTCGATGAAATTGTTTAGATCGGATCACTATAGCATATAGTTGCCATGCAAACTGAACGATCGGAATTAAGTTCTCTTAAGTCACTTTTTGTATTTGTAAAGGGTATTATAGATTCAGTGCAACCGAAAGTAAAGTTTGTGCTTGATTTTTTATGATATATATTTGAAACTTTAGTAGGTCTCTCCTGTAGTTGGTTTTTTCATATTAAAATAAAATTTATTGGTGAGTTGTCATGATCGTATTTACTGTCTGACACATCAGTCACAATATTTCTACTGTGAGTATTAAATTGAGTTCGTAAGCTAGCCTTGACAATCGAATTATTTAATAAGCTGTTTAAATACTCAAGTGCAAATGAAACAGTACTGCACCTCGCATACCCCAATATATATTTTATATAGCACTTCCTATAGTGAGCTCACAGCCCAACGGTATACTGATCGTAGACGAGCATACAAATTATTAAGCAGAAAAATTTTCAAATAATATATTTACACAAATTTATACCTTATACTTCAAAGAAATGTTAGCTTCAAAGGTGCTCAAAAATATTCTTACTATACTTATCTATTTTTAAAAAGTAATTATTTTGTACTGTAGAAGTACTAATTAGTGAACGCAAGCAATTGTCTAACTGTCGCTAACCTAATCAGGAAATGCCACTTCCGTAACTAGTGCGATTTCATGCTAATATCAATTCACACTAAGCGCATTGATCTCTCACGAGCAAAATACAGTCAGCTAAACACTCACATGCCATATATCTATTGTACTTATATATGTATGTATATAGGGTATTTTAGAATATCCACTAATATTTGTGGGGTTTGTCTATCTGCTTAAATGCATCTTTGGCACTTTTTCATAATTTTAGAAATATCTTATTTATATATTCATTTTTTGCTTTGTTTTTTTTTGTGTTTTTTTTTTTTAATTTAGTTCGGTTTTTTCCACTTGCATCTACTTAGCACTTATTCGTTGGAAAAATTCGAAAATTTGCGCATTTATTGAAAACTGAAAAACTGTCAGAAACTGTGTCAAGTACATAATTAGAAAGTGCTGAAATTTTTTTATTTGCTTAGAATGGGTGAAATTGTGCATTCAGTTGGAAAGAAAATAATAAAGAAAAAGCAAAAATATATTACAAATTTTAAAAGCTTTATGTGCGGTTCCAAAATGGTGTTGATACAAGCATGCAACATTTATTATATAATTTTAGATATTTAAAATTTATCTTTATTTTATTTTAATAACTTATATATTTGAGAATTTATTTTAATGACGCACATGTGCTGACATATCAAAGAACTGTAAATTTTAACATTATTTTTTTTTTTTAATTTCGGCAGATAATTAAAGGAAAATAAATTTAAATAAACTATAAAGTTTTCGGCTTTGTGCTTAATTTGTGGGCGAAGATATTTTTAATGACTGTGCCATAAATATTTGCACCGTAAAAGTGTGATATTTCCAAAACCAGCGAATTTTTGGCGAGTTCGATAAAAGAAAATTTTATGAGCCTCAATATATTTTCACTGCTCCATAAATACAAATTGTCATTGTTTATTTATCACATGCCACAATGTAGGCACCAGTCTATGAATAAAATAATAATTAAAAGTTCAAGCCAACTTAATAAATAAATATTAATTATAAAATTTTTACTTTGAAATATATGCATGTCGTGTAACACTTGCAGTTTAAATTTCTCACATATACAGACTTTTACTTCTACGCAGACATTTAATGGTATGGTCGATTGTAACACTGCTTGCTATAGTCAAAATCAATATTGCCTACAAACACCCTCGTTATAGATACAAAGTTGTAACATGGCGGCAAATGATTTTAATCCAGCGATGATCTAAACATTTTGAAATCCAAGAAATTAAGTTTCTAAAATATTGTGTTTTTGAAAAACAAATTTTGTTCCAAAGTTTATATGAAAGTTAGAATATGTCAACGTGGATTTTCTGCTTTCTTTCAAGAAGTGTGTTGTTCCATGTGAACGTCTGGTAAACAAAACCTTGAAAACATAGAAACCAGAACTGAAAGAGTTGTAGATATTATGACTGCGTTCACATAAGAAGAGTTTTATTGCCTATATTCGTAGCTTGTAGGCGAAGAGACGATAAGAAAATACGAAAGGCAATTCAGCATTACACTTTGAATTTCTTTGCGTGGTTGCAATTGTGCTCGGTTTTAAACGAATATTTGCAAAATGTTCGAAAATTTTAAGTTTATCGTATATTTATTTTGTGTATGTAAATCTTTAAGAAAATGGTTAACACGGATAAGAATCAGCCAATGCAAAATACTTTTGTATATTTAAGCATGAGATATGAAAGGGAATGCCGAAAATTGTCATGCCATGTAAATGTAAATGCAACGACAAAAGGTAATTACCCGAAAACGAAAAAGTCTTTGTGTGTAAACGCGGTCTAAGAAAGCAAAGGAAGAACAAGTAGTGATGATAGAAATATTAAACGAAGTTGTTTGAATCTATTAAACATTTTGTGAACTAGACACTATAACTCCGACTCTACTTATGCTATATTTTCTAATTTCTATGTGTAATAAATAAAAATCTACAGTTTTCAATATTTATTTATTTTACTTAGAGTCCGGATTATCATCAATTTCATTCTGCCAACGCTTTCAAAACATGAAAAAATATTTACATTGGCAGCACCGAAGCTAACTTACGCTTTACAGTCGCATTTTGTATACCATAAAACAATATGAAAAGAACCTTTTCTGATTTTCATCGGTCAATGCATATGGTATATATATATATATTATAGTAGTCCGCTCTGAATAATTTCTTCGAAAATTGTAGCGATGCATACCTTCCCAAATAAAAAAGCTTTCCATACATGGACTTGGGACATGAGCTGGATCGGTCAATTTGTATGACAGCTATATGTTATAGTTGCCCGATATCGATGAATCCGACAAATAAGCAGTATCTTGGTAAGAAAAGGACGTGAGTAGATCGATATCTCAAAAACTGATAGACGGTGTTACAAACATCGTCGCAAAATTAATATACCCTGTTCAGGATATAAAAATTTGTATTCGTTAAAAACCTAGTTTTGTACGATACTTGCTTCTCAAAGGCTTGAAACTCAAAAGAATATTTACTGTGTACGTGTTTAATACACAACTGCTCACCAATAAAGGATATATTCAAAAGCAATAAACAATGCCAAGATGCCAGAGTTAAAAACATTTCTAAGCGAGAAAAAATATAAGTAGCTGAACGCACAACGAAACCTCTTCTAATCCGAACTAGTTATATAAGGAGAATCGCTAAAGGCTTATGCACACTATCGTTAAGAAGAAGGAACCTATTTGAATTTTTTTTCCTTTTGGTATTATTTAGTGTAATAGTACACATAGATGGTTGCCATTTTGAGGTTCGTTGCCAGCTTTTTAAAACTTTTGAATTTATATTATATAATAAATTAGTTATTATAATGTGATTGTCAAAGTAAGGAGGATTAAAAGAGATTAGAAAAATTTAGAAAGGCTTATATTTTAAATTATGTTTTAATGGTTAACGCTTAGTGAAGACTTTTATTCAATTAAATGAGATTTACTTCAGATTTTTATGGAATTATTTATAGAAAAAGTTATCATCTGTATTTATTATGCAATTAAATTGGGTTCAACTAATATTTTTCATGGGGGTAACCTTAAGAGAGGTTATCAGATATATTGTAAACAAACAGAAGAGAGAAGATAGAGTCATAGGTATAAAAACCGTTATTTTTTTCAATAATTCTGCATTTTGTTGACGTCTAATTCACAAACTTTCCGAGAGGTTTTTTCTTGCTCAACTTTTTGAACTCATCATAATTCCCCACAAACAAAGTTTGTCTTTCTATTCCTTACACCAAAATAAAATTAAAAATGTAAATATATAAAATACAAAACACTTCATTTTTTCTAAGTCCACACAAAATCAAAAATTAACAGACTTAGCAATTCCGCCAAGCATAAATCAATCAATTACACAATAATTCCAAATAAGGCGGCAACTTCTTCCAATTAATAAAAGATAAAGTGCACACACTTATACACACATCTCGAGAAATGAAGCCAAATAATGAATTCATTGCGATTGCAAAATAAACATTTTAATTGGTAGTTATTAATTAAGTTTATTCTCTACTCTTCTTTTCATCCCCCTCTCTTCGGCGCAGATCAAGTGAACTGTTATATGGGTCAGAATGAAGGCTACTTCTGCAATAAGAATCAACACTCCTCCACACAGACGCGCTGGTTTTTCGACAAAGGCGCTTGCAAAAAATTCAATTACAAGGGCTGCTATGGCAATCGGAACCGCTTCTGCACGAAGGAGGCCTGCGAACGACGTTGTCTGGGATAAGGATGTCTGTGCCTTAAACCGAAGGGGTTGAAAATGGTATGAGAAAGAAACAAGCGGTCAGGTTTGTTGCTTTATCGAGTGTGTGAAGAGCAGAAAATTGAGATACTGAAAGCAACAGCAGCAGTGCCGAAGAGCCTGGAAACATATCTAACATTTGTACTCGTAACATAGCGGATAATCGATGTAATATATACTACCATTTAAGATTTTATAAATATATTGTATAGTTATATAATTGTATTGTATTGTATATTTAGTGTGTGTATGTATTCTTAAAAAAAAAATATGTATTTATTTTCTTCGAAATAAATGTAGTGTGAGCATTTAATGGATTATTTCTACTTTTTTTGTTGAAAAATTTTAATGTTTCCTATTTTTGTTGTTACAAAGCTACAAAGTGGAAAGTGTTAAATATTAGGGTGGAATGAAAAAAAATTTTGTTTTTGTTGCTTAGCTTGAGGATCAAATTTGTAGATTATAAAAACAAAAAAATTTCGGAAAAAAAAATTTTTTAACATCTTAAATTTTTTCGTTTCACCCTATTAATTATATACAATTTTAGTCACAAAATAAAAAAAAAATTAAAAAAAAAACAAGGAAAAACGTTAGCTATGGTTGCACCGACGCTATAATACCCTTTACAAATACAAAAATGTTTCTTAGAAGAACTTGATTCCGATTGTTCAGTTTGTATGGCAGTTATATGCTATAGTAGTCCGATCTATACAATTTTTTCGAATATTCCAATATTGCCTTAGACAATGATCCGTTACAAATTTTGTGAAGATATCTCGTGAAATGAAAAAGTTTTCCATACAAGAAATTGATTCCGATAGTTCATATGCTAAATTTATCGATCGATATCTCAAAAACTAAGAGACTAGTTCGCGTATATATAGACAGACGAACAGACATCGGACATAGCTAAATCAACTCAGTTCATCATATATATTTTATGGGGTCTCCGACGTTTCCTTCTGAGTGTTACAAACTTCGAGCCAAACTTAATATACCCTGTTCAAGGTATAATAAAAAGTCATGTACACCAATCACATGTGACCGCTCATTAGTGACATTTCAAATCACCACCCGCTTCACCCGACCCACCTTACCGTCCTCTAAAAACCTGCAGCAAATCGACACTTTTCTTACCGGCTAGCCAAAAAAGTTGCACAGTTTCACACAAAAGTAGGTATACAATGTATGTGATTGCGTGTGTTTGGCAGACATTTTAAAAGTGTCACAGTGATCTGTCACTTTCTCGCTATTTATACGCTAACGCTTTCTGTTGTCACCAACTGCGTCTCCGTTAGCCTTTCTTGGTGCGGGTGACGCAGCTCTAATGTGTGAAATCTCGATGTGGTTGACAGTTTTGGCTCTTTACTGTCACTTTGGGGAAGAATATTGTCACACGCTATCAGTGTGCAGTATCAAATAACGGTAATGATTTGTGTTAAGCACAAGGAACGCAGCGGGATGAGCGTATTTGTGTGGGGTCTAGAAAATCTTAAGATGTCTTTTTGGCTATTTGAAAAAGTGATAAAAGGCGGAAACTAGCTAGCATGAGCCCCAGGTGTCTTGCGTCAAAGTGATGATATTAATTACTAATTGATATTTTTGTATTATTCTTAAAATTTTAGAATACTTATTTATTACTTGTTATTAGAAACATTTGACATAGGTCTAGTTCGAATTGTGCCGGCGTTTAAGCCAAAAACGTCGTGTAACTTCATGTAAAAACAAAATGATGTTCGAACAAATTGAATAGTTAATGACAATCGAAATCAACGGTTTATGTTCCCGAAAACGTCTAAATAAACTCTTGACAGTTGTTGGAACAGTTCAGATATGGAAAAATATGAAAAGCTTTCGAACAACTTATTGTTTTTCTGTCTTTCCAAAAGCCGAATCCCAGAGTTATGCTCATATGGATCTATTAGAGGCAGTTGAGCCGCTACAGTGTACTGCGCTGCGGACAACTTTAGCCTGCATGCTCTTAGTTTGCGAACACCTCTACAAGCAGTTTCCACTACGATGTTTTCACCATAACCATCCTTATAGTCAGCGGCTTTGGACGCAACCGCCTCCGACGAATGTCAAAAATTTGTCTCTGCATTATTTTGACAAAATCAAATACTTAGCCATTCAGATTTCGGGCGTGACCAACATCCGATAGGCACTTAACGGCATTTAGAGCGTAGCCATAAAATCCTTTATCGACTCTATCCATTCGTCTTTAGAGTCAAACCGTCAAACATAACAAAATAAAACTTGGAGTTGCCTTGCGTTATTTCGATCTGGTATTCGATCAATAGTAACAGACCGTGAAACCATACAACACCCCTTTCACTGCAGACAAATTCCGTCGAGATAGTTCTTTTTGTACGTTAGAATACTTTTCCTCCAAATAATCGTTACAATAATACCGACAATCAGAACAACCTCTTCTCTACACCAGCCTCATTTTAACTCTTCGAAAACTAATGAAATTTTAAACCTTCGTAATGCCCACTATTTTCCCCGAACAACTGTTTTATATGTCTTGAGCTTGAATCAAGATTATTAGCAAATACTGTTGTGGTCGTTACCTAATACTTAGACCAATTCGAATACTTTATTTGAATATCATCGAAAAAAAATTTAAGCTTTAAACAAACTTTTACAAATGGAATAAAATCAGTCTTAAAATATCAAATATATATACATATTCATATATAGTATGTAATAAACATTAAATCTTAGAAAATATCTGACATACTGTTGTCAATAATTGAAATTAAAAGCTGCAAGTCATCACTCATATATAAATGATAATTTAACCCTCGGTACAACGACATGTAATAGCTTATGTGCGTACGAGGTATGTTTAAAAATTAACGGAAATTTTCGTTTTTTGAAAAAATATTTATTCATTTGTCTACATTTTGTTGTCGCCTTCAGAATAGTTCTCATTCGATATTGTGCACTTATGCCAGCGCTTCTTTCAATCGTCGAAACCTTTCCCTTTCGGTTAGTCTTAACTCTTTCAAAATTTTCATCTATCTTGTAGAACGACTGCCCTTTAAAATATTATTGGAAATAAGAAATAAGTCATACGGAGCCATGTTTGGCGAATATCTAGGCTGGGGCATCGTTTTAGTATTGCTTTTGGCGAAGAATTCACGAACAAATTCTTCCTTTTTACTTCCGGGACATATGTATATTCAAGTATTAGGTCAAGTAAAAAGGTCGTTCGGTTTTTATCTAAGGGATAGCGTTATTGTCCATAGTACTAGTGTTACGTGTCGCATCATGTCATTATATACGGCGCTGAAAACGTGTTTGTTCGCGCTAAAAGTTTGTCCTTGACAGTTTTTCGATTGATTGACTCAGTACGTTGTGAGCGCTCGTCAAAGATGGACACCAGCAAAGAGAAAATTCGCTATATTTTACAATTTTTCTTCGATCAAGGCGAAAAAGCAGCCAAATCGGCTGAAAAAATTAATTTAGTTTATGGGCCCGATACTGTAAACGAACGTGTAGCACAAAAGTGATTTGCTAGGTTCCGTTCCGGTAATTTCGATGTCAAAGATGCACCACGCGTCGGGAGGCCTGTCGTCGAAAATTGCGATAAAATCATGGAAATAGTGGAAACAGACCGTCACGTGAGCATTTATTTAATTTCTGAGGAAATAAAGATAAGCCAGAAAACCGTTTGGAACCATTTGCATAACCTTGGATTCAAAAAGAAGCTCAATGTTTGGGTGCCACACGAACTAACGCAAGAAACATGATGGACCGAATTCCCTTCTGCAAATCGTTGCTGAATCACAACAAAATCGACTCGTTTCTGAAGCGGATTGTGACTGGCGATGAAAAATGGGTCCCTTACGACAACAAGCGGCCCAGACGGTGGCCAAGACCGGATTGACGGCCAGGAAGGTTTTGCTGTGTGTTTGGTGGGATTGGCAAGGAATCATTTACTACGAGCTGCTCCCCTATGGCCAAACGCTCAATTCGGCCCTCTACTGCCAACAACTGGACTGCTTGAAGGCAGCACTCATCCAGAAGAGGCCATCTTTGATCAACAGAGGCCGAATTGTGTTCCATCAGGACAACGCCAGGCCACACACGTCTTTGGTGACTCGCCAGAAGCTCCGGGAGACCGGAATGGAGGTTCTAATGCACCCACCTTATAGTCCGGACCTGGCACTAAGTGATTACCATCTTTTCCTGTCCATGGCGAACGCGCTTAATGGTGAGAAGTTGGCCTCAAGAGAGGCCTGTGAAAATTAGCTCTCCGAGTTTTTTGCTAATAAGGACGCAGCCTTCTACGAGAGGGGTATAATGAGGTTGGCACGTTGGCAACAAGTTTACGAACAAAACGGCGCATATTTGACTTAAATCGTTATCATCTTTTGAAAAATCAATAAAAAACCGAACGAACTTTTTACTTTACCTAATATATATACGTATGCTTATCAACATAAAACAAAAATTTGACAATAAGACTCTCAAAACCCGCGAAATCTTTTTTAAAAGTACCGCTATTTCTTTGAACACACCTCGTAAGTTATTTGCTCACACGCAAATTCTAATTATTCACGCTCCAACGAAATGACTCAAGAACAAACAATCGACTACAAAAAAAAAGTAAAACATTCATATAGACAAGTACTTGTATACATACATACGTATTTGAAATTCTTTATGCGAGCTAAGTGCGTGACACACGTGCCTCTGCGGTCGCCCAATAATACCATATATTTGACTACAAATAAATGGATTTCATTGAAATACTTTAAAATGTTATGTTCATATATATGTACGTACATAAATATCTACGAGTAAATTTGTATATGAGAACATGTGCCATTATAATTGTACGTGATTTCATATAATTTTGGCAGCACATTAAGCTAATATTCCTTGAATCACTGAGATAATTGAGAAATTCCGGATAATGTGACATCACTCTTCCTAATGTATTCATCGAGTCGCTAAGTTTACTGACTAAGTACTACGAATGGTTGCAATGTCATATCATATTGAAAAATTTCTAGAAAATTTTGATACCATCTGAACAAATTTGACCCGACCCGCGTAAACCGAATCGATATATAATTTTTTCAGTGCTTGAAAATCATCGTGTTGGCATCCGAGAAATGAGAGCAGACGATCTCAACATCTTTTATGGATCGACTCAACATATTTTGTTTAACTGTTTGGCTATGAAACGTGTCAATTTTAGACTCGTACAAAAATACCTGAATCTGTTGAAAAAGCAACGTCGAGTAGGTTGGCTCTGGATCCCATTTTGAAGGCGCTAATAAAGACTTGTATTAAAATACGTGATCATTTT